GCAGTAGCAAGCCGATTTTATACAATGATGTGTTTGTTTTACACTTGTGTGACAATTTTTGCTGTTATTGTAAGTTGTTATAGTAATTTTTGGTTTTGCTCTACCGATACTACCTTGTATGAATTCGCAGTAGTTGCCGAAATTATTTTACTTTGACTTACCGATTGGTTCTAAAAACTTCGTAAGCCTAGCAAACCTCTACAGTCGGATTGAACTATAAAATATAATAATCACGTCGCAAAGGAGCAAACCAGCCATGGAGAAGTGGTTTAAAAATAAAAGATGTCAGGTAAGCAATGGTCTTTGCTAGTTTGCGCAATGGTTTGAAGTGAGGCTTTGCAGAAAGGAACTTACAAAGCTTCCAAGTAACATACAGGTAGTTTATTTTGTTGATGGGCGATTTTTGCGTGCAATTTGAAAATTTTTTTGGGGATTTTTGGGTAATTTAGATTTCTTTCGGGGTAATTAAATGAATTGAAAACGGCAACGCTACCAACAAACAAATGATACACAGCGTACATGCAACAACAACAGCAAATTGTAAAACAGTTGCGTCAACCAAGAAGATAAACATTTATTTTGCTACAAAGCAAAGAAAAACAAAAATAATTCACCATTGCAAACGAAAACTATGCCGCTGTGCGAAAAAAAATTACTGCAACAATGGCCATTAAAAACTAAAACCTTAACTAACAAAAGCGCGACGCCGGCTACACAAACTCACACCACCAGCTATAGTATATCCTCAAAACCAACAAAGCAATGGCAGCGCCGGCGGTGTCGGCGTTGAAGCAAACAGCGCTGCCAAAAAAAGACACACAAACATAGATTCTGATAAAATAAAGAAGAAAGAGCACAGCCGAGCCACGAAAATATCGCACGCCGTTTTCAAAAGAGTCACAACTAAAAATAATACGTTTGTCAGGAAATGCGAAAAGATATTTCTTAGCACATGATAATCATATGGGCAAAGGCGATTTTACCTTAGGTTTTTTTTAACAAATTATAACAAAAATTTGTTCCAGCTTTAGTTGAAAAGTAAATAAAAGCTGTGTGCATTTTTAGTGCATAATCTCAAAAATTCCAAATTTTGAGTTGTGACTTTTTTAAAGACGGTGTGCGATATGACTTTGCTGATCGTTCGGAAATACCAAAAAACCCAACGATAAGCAACAATAATGCAGTGCAGAAGTATAGCGATGGCAGTAAAACCGTCACGAAAAAACAAAAAACTAAATAAAACAAGAGCAAAAACCAAATGTAACAAAACGAATCGCCCAGCAAACATACCAACTGGCCATTCAACGAAAACACCGTAAAAACGTAGTGCAAAGAAATAAAAAACCAAAAGTGAAATGAAAGGCGACAGCAATGAAAGAAGACATATAGTAATCGCATACATATTACTATATATCCAATCCGAAACCGAGATGTCAATGACGAAAACAAAAACAACAAAAATAAATCCAAGCAAGCGCCACAATAGCGCATAACGCAGACGACAAAGGCATGCGGCGTCTGACTGAAGGCGACCGCGAGTAGAATCGTCCGACAGCTACCAAGGTAACAGCCAGGATTAGCTTAAATATGCGCTGCTACTGTCGTCAACGTCTCTGCGACTGAGAAATTAACAATAGCCTGCGCAGGTGCTCGCATATGGTGTGAGAAAGAACCACTCACGTTGGTACGCTATATAGTTTTGCTGTTTTTTTTTTTTTTTTGTAGTTCTGTACATTGTTTTTATTGTATGTGCAAAGAGCTCACGGCCTGCAAAAGG